GAACGTTACACCAGTTCCCCCAAAATAAGTTGTTGGTCTTGTTGTTCCCACCCGAGTGAAAGCTGATACGATGTGCTTTGGCCCTCAAATGAAGCTTGGGTAAAATGCCTCGTAAATTTTTTGGAGATGCGTAGGGTGTGATCGGGAAAAAGTCTGATGAGCTACCCAGTGGTGATCAAGTGGTTACTTTGTTTGTGTCCTGCCTGTGAGGTCTCCGATTGCGTTCTCAGGCACATAAAAAATACGCGTTGTTGCACTGGTGAGCATAAATAAGGTTGAACAGTCGTACAGTACTGGATACTTCAGCTCACGTCCTAACCGGGACGATGGATATACTCAATTGATGAGTTCGAAATAAAAAAGCAGAACAAGACTCAATTTTATTGGGTCCGAAATGGTGTGTGTGTGTGTGTGTGTGTACTTAAGCGGATGAACGCATAACTGTGCGCGAGAGTGAAAACCGAAACATAGAGAGTCAAATCCGATTCATGTTTAACTGACTCTTCACAAGACGAAATTCCCCATCTCAAATGTGTCACAGTGCTTATTTGAAAATCACCTTTGCATACGAATGCGAGAAGCAGTCTACAACAGACTGGCACAGACACGAACTTGCTGATGCGGATAAACTAATGGAACTGGGTGAGAAATACAAACAACTCCTGGGTGGCAAGCTTGGATACAATTACGCACTGCTGACGAGTCCATATAAGACGAAACAATTGTCCAGTGCTCTTTATTGGTTATCACAAACATTTCCATCACATTTGAACTCCTGAGTGGTCGATGGCTCCAATTACCCTCGTGTATCATCATCATCATCATCATCACCGGTTCCATACGTGCAAAACAAGGCAACTGGTGTGTAATGACCGTCCCCGTACTATCAACTGTGTATGCGTCTATGTGTGTGTGTGTATGCGTGCGTGCACCCATAGTGTCGATTTTCTTTCTCTAATTCCAAAGTTAAGACAGTCCCGTGTGAACTCACATTTGATAGCTTGCTTCTTTGTTTCCTAATATGCTTAGAAAAATCGTGGCCTATTGTTCTTCGGTGCTTGTTCTGGCACTATTATACACTTAATCACGTTTCTTCTGTCCCACTAGTTAAACCGAGTGAATAAGATCTCCGTGATTTACACGCTAAATGCGTTTCAAAAATATTCCCGTTAGATATTCTCGAACTCCAATTCCAGAACTCACAAGTATTTATTTCCACAAGAATATACTTGAATAGTAGTACTTCTCTTCTGTACTGCTAAACGAATATCTGAGCACTGATAAACTGTGTGTGCGTGCTATATCTTTCTCTGAATCACATCACTTCCAGAACGGTGCGTCAGAGTTTCCCAGACCCCGGAATATTCCCCATATTCCCACGGGCATTAATTAAAAGATTCGTTGTATCACTGCTCGTTTCGAGCAACCGATCAATATATGGTGGTCTGTAATTTTTAACTACTAAGTGTATCCACAGTAGTAAAAAAATGTGGGCCTTTTAGAATATGACTATATTGGAGTAGTGGGAAATTAGGATGCACCGTTGCGTAATTTATTGTTTGTTATTCATTGAAATTTAAGCTTCATCCTAGCATAGATATGATAATACAATAAAGTCCAATATTAGATTGTCTCGCGACGATCCTTCTGCTCTTTCTGGTGATCCCAACATTTCTCCTTTCGTACCCTATCTCGAAACACAATTTTCAGTCTACAAGGTCACTGCCGCGGACACTAACAGTACCACATAGGGAAAATCAGTAAACAGAGAGGTCATACTTTAATCGGTTGAGCTTACACAGTTCAGCCAAGCTCGTAGCTCACGCCAAGTTTCATTGTATTCCTGAAAATATTCTATCCGTAAACTGTTCCCTCCGGCAGCGTGACCCGAACTGCCTGGTGCCGCAGATAATGATGAGGACGGAGGTGAAGCCGACTCGAAACTCCCGTTCGGTGAGGCGCAAAATGAGTCTGAGGCACAACCGTTTTTTCGTCCCTCGTTTTCGGCATCGGCGGTCAAAGTGGTTTCCAGCGGGCAGCTATCCGACCTATGGTGAATGACCGTGTAAGTGGTAATAGTGTATACGAGTCAACAACAGAAAGAAACTAACGATTATTTAGAATACACCAGCGGTACGCATTAAATGAAAACGCAGTTTACCGAACAGGCTTATTTTCGGGTAAATCATCAACTCCTCCACCTCGCAATTGTACCCCAAATCACACAAGTAACACGGACAAAGCATAAGTTCCGTTGGTAGCATCAGGCATATCCGGTTTTATGAAATTGAGACAAAAAACAACAACAAAAATTTCCATTCGAATAATCATTCAGTTTGTTTCCTCTTTTTTTACAAAATGATGTTATATAAAATGTGATCTATTAGTCAGTTGATGAGTCACCGAAAATGAGTTTGTTCGTTAAGCTGCGTTTTCATTCGATTGTATAGAAACAAGAATCTTCTTAAAGGCTTATTCAAGAAATTTGTTGTATCACTTCCAGTTTCGAGCTACCAAACAACTTATGGCGGAGACCTGTAATTTCCAATCACTAGTTCTTTCTGCAGTAATAAAACTGAGACAGTTCACCCTTTTTGCAAGTTACTTCATAAGATTTATATGGTGAATGCTTGGATTAGCCCATTTGATCTTTCACAGGCACCAGGCACTGTGGATGATCTTGGGTGTGGGTTTGACTGCTTGGGAAATCGTTAATTCCGCACTAGTTGAATGTATTCAACTTTGATGGAAAAATGCTGAATTCCCAAGCCGAAGGTTCACGATTCGAGTCCTGACAGGGAAACGAAAAAAGTAGGCACACCTGACGAGTCCTAAACGGGACGAAATAGCTGTCCAGTGCTCTTTGTCGGTTACCACAAACACTATTCGTAAGATGTTTACGAGCTTGTCTACAAGAAGTTTTCATCATTGAACAGATGATGGTTTAGAGCGAGTACGTGTGTGTGTGTGAGAGAGAGAGAGAGAGGGCACAATCAAACCGCATGCAGGTGAGAACGGATATGGCAAACCCGACAAACCGCTGAACACAACCCAATCATCAAATATGCGGTTTAATTGCTAAAAGCTCTCGCAAAAGTTCATCCATATGATGAGCTATAGCTGTGCTCGGTCGGCATAAGTCACCTCTGTGAAAACCGCGGTTTGCCAGGTGCTAATTCTTGCTCCACGAAGCAGTGTGTTTCTGGAAGCGGTTGCTGAGGAAGTGCAAATCACTTCCTCCTCAAAGACCCTCTGGTGCCACAACTAGTTTAACAGGTTCTGAGGCCTTGATACGACCTTGCGGTGTAATTACATGAAGTAATACTTCTTGAACGCACCAGAAAAGCAGGTGCATCTGTCACTCATCAGAGAGAGAGAAACAACGGTCAAAAAGCGGCCCCACAACTACAGACCGCAACATTCGCAAATGGATGGTGTCGGTGAAAGCGTGTTCCTAAAATAAAGCGTTCTTTTAATTCCCTACAGGTTAGCACTTCTATCTATACTAGTGAAAAAATCTTTCGATCCGATTCTTCATTCCAAATTCCATCCACAAACAAGATGACTTAGGGTTGACCGGTAATATGGGATATTAAAAAGTACACTCCAGTAAGGAAGGTAGGAGGTGGGAGAGGGTGGGCAATACGCTACTCCATCGCTTTGGTAACCGGTTCCAACAACCGAACAGTGTACAATGTTTTAACCACATCAAACGCTATCCTAGAATCATGAGGAATTTCGGGAGAGAGATTCTATCTCTACTGCAAATTGTTTTACGTATGAAATGATGGGACTCAACAATGATATGGAAAAAACAGATATTGAAGAGAGTTTAAAATGCTGCATGTCGAACGAAGGAAAGCATAATGTCAATCTCACAAAAATGAGGCAACCGAAATTCCGACCGAAATCTCGGCTGAATGAATGTAGTACGTACCGAAGAGCAGCACGATGCGCGCGCATAGCCAGAGAAGAGGTGACCCAATCCCCGATCGCCGGACACAGCTGTTTGGATATCAGTTCAAGCAAACGTTGACAGGCACGAATGAACGAGGCCTCCGCGGTCGGAGGTAAAATGCGGACTGCCAGACTGGCATTCCGCATAGAGAAATATTGCAATCCACCGCGACATCGACAGAGCTGACGGTAGAGCCGGCGCAGAAAGTTCCACACACTCTCGATACGGCTACGCAACACACTTGGATCCTGTGCGCCGTGTGAATGGGACGAAGTAGGGCAGTTGAGAGGAAATGAAACGAAAATTATTGAATCCGAATCAGGTGAATCCCACACCAGAAAGAACAATGTCTAGACTTGACTTGCCTATCCGGAGTGCTCACGTGGCCACAGAAAATGATTCTACTGATGGGATTCTGTTGACACTGCGAAACTCATCTCATGACAGGAGTACAGATCTCACGAGGGTTCAAAGAGTGTGCACTTGAGGCGAAATAAAGCCAATATCAGGGGCTATGAACGGGTCGGTGAACCACTGGCAGATCACCCAACGGAGATGGCTAAAAATCCTGATTCCAAACGAAACAAGAAGAGGTGTACGAGCCATTGACACACTTTTCTGGCCGCGGTAGTGGTCACCGGCTCGATTGGGTATTCAGCTGTATTGGGTACCTTGGACGTTTAACCTCGTCCAAAGGCGTATGACCGATGAACTGGACACCGGCCCCAATGGATTGCGGTTTTGTAGTTTGGGCGTGTCACATAAACCGGACAATTACGCATTTTATATTCAACTACCGCCAGCATGTGAAAAGATGAGGTGGTCTTCGGACAAATGTGCCGTAAAATCTGCATCTTTCTATTCCAACCATGATCCATCGTTAGCAAACAGCTCATTAGGCTTGAGACCACTGACTCAGCTGGAAAGAACGCAACCTCTGAGCAAATTCGAGACTTTCTTTTCCCGTGTCCAGTCAACTTCACTGTCCCATCAACAACCAAGATCTCGAGTAATCTGCCCCCTCCGTGCCCTTCTGAGGAGAGCAAATTCTTCCAGGCTGTAACTAAGCGTCATCAGGAAATTTATGTACCTGTGCACATTTCTGTGTGAGTGTTCTGACCTGTTCCTGATATGCGTAAGTTGAAATGGTTTAGGTTATGGCATTCAGTGACTTTGATTTCTTTTCTTTACACAGCTATTATACATCATTGTGTCTATTCGCTGCTATCTCCATTGGTGTCAACAAACAAACGGCTAAGGTTTTCCGAATCGGAACACGGAAGACGGGAGACAACACCTACACTCTACCCAATCTCTCAGTGCTATTGTTCTTTATGCTTCATCTCCACCTCATTTCTTTTAACTGCAGGCATTAACGGTACACTGACTGATGGTAAAACAACCGTGATAAGAAATCAACATGGACAATTTTTCAAGTTAGCAACAATCTGTTTAACCTGCATCTACCTCTGCCTTTTTGTTCACCTTACAAAATCGGACACCACGAGACTCACGTAATCGTTTGTGCCGAAATATGCGCGCAATTCGACTTTTTCCTGATCCTGACCGGTTCGGGGACAGGAAAATGAGTTGCATTAGGACGTCTCTCGCACAGTGATGACGTCGGAAATCGCGAATCATCTAAGCCCGGACACACGCACACAAAGTTTAATCGATCTTCATGACCCCCATCCACCCCCACCCCAATGCGCTCTACTTTGCACGTCACAGCTTTCCGAGGTCACATGCTTAGGGTCATCTGAACAGCGACCTTGAGGATCTAATCCCGAAGTCAAAAACCACCAGTTCCATTTACGTATTTTCACATGGCAGCTATTGTTCGGCCGCATTCCCGAAAATTGATGACAAATTGGTATGTTCAATGAATGAGACGGAGTAATGGAGGATTCGATTCGATTTCAAGCGAGGGTCGACGGATTCGCACTGCTGATGAGACCCAACCAGATGGAAACAGCTGTCCGGTGCTTTCTAGCTTTTACTTCACGCTTCATTCGTCATATACACGACGAATTGCCACTTCGAAATAAAACGAAGTTCAAAAAGTGATCATTATTGTTATGTTACCTGTTTACGATTTTTAATTCAATTCAACTTGCTGACCAACGGAATCTCAAATGCATTTTCCATGCAAGTATGCATACAATCGCAAATAGTAAAAGTTACGAAAACAACCACCTAAAATACTTATACGATCGTTTGGACGATTAGATGGAAACTATTCGATCCGGCTCGCAAACGAATTATTTACTCCCTTTCACAACGTACCGATGATCTTGTTAGACAGAAACACATGCACAGACGTTTGGCAAATCAACCAGTTCAAATTGGACTGATTCCCAATTAGCAGACAACAGTAACATTTGTGTTGGTTTGTTTTTACAACCATTAACCAGGCACTTTCGTGCGCCGGTTTTGGTTGCTGTCTTTTGGTCGCGTATTTGGATAAGGGAGCAGAGTCAGAGTGAAGATAAAGAATTCATATAGACTGCGGTTGTACGAATGACGAGTAGATGCACTAGTGCCACTGTTTGCGATACTCAGCCATATCGCTCAGTGTCTCTAACCACCGGTGACATGATCTACGGGTCCCCAGCCAGAGAGCCTAACGGGACCTATATGATCCAGTGTCTAGGTTAGGATTTTCATACCCTCGTATAAGGTCCTCGTTTGACCGCCCTTAACCTTTTTCCATCGACTGCCTGTGTCGACAAACATCACTTGCCGAGTAAACCTATCTGGTGACATGCCCCAACCAGCGTAATCTGTGGAGGTCAACTACTTGCTCCAGTGGACGACCGCGGTTACCTAAAACTCTGCGCCTAACCTCAGCAATAATATTTATGCTAGTAGAACTACGTGTCCGTGTACCCTGGGCATTCCACCGCGGCCGAATAACGCACTAATTATTAACCGATAGACAAACGATACACACAAATTTGCTGATGATGGAAATCCCGCAATTGGGCACCCAATTGGGACAGTTTCACATACCGCGCTAATACCCCTTAGTACCGTCGTATTTCTCAATTCCCAACTGGGCAGTGGCTTCGCCAGGTTGCGTGAGATTTTCTGCCCGGCGAGATATAACCTAGATTTGACTGGGGCACTTGAATGACTATCTGATAACGGGTGCACAGCTAAAATTATCATCATCATCATCATCATCACACGTTACCGAGCTGTTTAAAATTGTTTCCTTTTCCGACCGCAAATGAAACTGCCATCAGTGTTAGTTGTCTTAACGCAACCGTTAGTTCCGCATTTCAGTGCTTTAGTTATGGTCAGTAACTGTACACTACGGATTCCTTACATACACCCTTACATACATCATTCCGATGAGCAGTAAAAAAGAGTCAGAATCATCGTGACCAGGAGGATTGAGTGATCCATTTTTGGGGACCGATAATCGAAATCTTGGTGCGAGAAACTGTGTAAGACCCCAACTGGTAGATCAAGGGAAGAAGAATGTGAACAGCTAAAGGTTGGAAAGCGTCACAAAGGCAAAAACCTCAGTATGGTTGGGGGTGGATATCTAGGGTTGTGGCTGGTAACCCTCCCCCCCCCCC